ATGAATACCACAAAAAGAGTAGAAGCACATTTTTAGACTGGTGGTTTCTCATACCACTGATTTTCTCTTCTAAAACTGAGACTAAATTCTGATGACAGGGATGTACATATGTAATTGCTAGACAACAGCTCACACGTACAAAGCAATGGATCTGTGCCCATAGATTTCTTCCAAATGCCAGTAAATGCACCAGCCTATGTGTATCTTTCTTAGACTTAGTGCTATAGTATTTTTCAGAAGTGAAAATACCCGTGAATGCTGTTCATAAATCAACCAGCTATAATTTTCAGCCTCAGTAGTGGTACAGAGTGATAGATACAATACGTTGCCAATCCAATTTCTTGATCACAGTTGACTGTCTTGGACAATGTTGTGAGTACTAAGAAAACAAAGCATTTCTGTTTCATAGTAATGCCATGGTACTTTAATGACAGTGAGGGTTGTTGCTGAGAATCCTGCTTATAAAACTGACTTCATACAGTTCCATCCTAGGATACATTTTTCACATTATAATTATCTAATCATGCATTCATTCAACATGAACTTTGCCTTCACATGAAAAGATACAATATTATACGGTTTAAAATAAAGGGTGGAACTGCAACCATGTATTTTAGTTTTGCTTGCAATACTAGAATACACACAGTCATGCCAGCTTTTGAGAGGAAGCAGGAATTAAAAATGTGTGTTATGAAATGCATTTCATGTGAATAAATGTCAGAACGGCATACAGTTTCACCCCTTGACTAAGCTAAAGAACTCATTTAATATAGTAATATGAAACTATATATATTACAATAGAGAAAATATTAGGAGAGTATCAATTTCCGATTATTATTACCTGCTATCCTACAGAGACTGTCTAAAAATGAAGGCTTCCATTTTCTTGTTTTTCTATTTCAACCAACCATCCATTCAGTTTACTTTTAGAAATCATAGTTTGAGAAAGCTATACTGGGGTGGCAGATATAGCCCACGGATGCCTATGGGTGAGCTAGTAATGCAGAGTTGTTAAATCAAGAGAGCAGATCTTAGGAGCAACACTGCGCATTACAACCTCTGCATCACACAGCCCTGTGCCGTGACTGCAGAGATACTGCAGGGTGAGAGCGTACCAAAGGTACAGCCCTGTTTACAAGCCCTTCACAGTACTTTGCTAGTAAAAATTATGGCTAGATGACAAAGAAAAAATATATATGCATATAATGTTGCACCATATTAACAAAATTTCCTGCAGCAGTGTATTTTTCCAAGGATTAGCAGACTCTGAAATCTGCTGTGCATTTTAAAGGTAAGGAGAATAAGCTAAGGCATTTGAAGATGTACAGCAGGTAGCTAATTTGTGGGTCCTTTGCCTACGTATATCTGGGAAAGCCAAACATAAGTGCTTACAGTAGAAGCCCCATCTTGGAAGCTTTTTTCCACCAAAAGCAGGCATGTGGCAAGACTATCTATGGACACTAAATGCATTTATGAGATGTGAAGAAGCTAGAGAAAATCGTTTGATTAGATAGGAAAGCACTCCGAGTTTAGCTGTTCCCTGCATGACCCTGAATCCTTTTAAATCTGCTAGGTAAGAGCACAAAGAGTTAAATAATCTCATTTACTGAAGCCTCAGGTGCTCAACTTGCTCAAGGGTGATACAAGAGAAACTACCTAGCCAACGGCCATTTATGCTTTCCTCCTCATCCACTTACATTGAAATGTTTTTTCCCCACTGCTGAAGGCAGTTAGGCATGATTTTCCATGCACCTGCTTTGGGGACTCGCACAGCTCTGTCACCAGTTCAGCTGCACAGGGGGAACGCTTTAAGAAACTTGGGTTTCATTGTTTAAATATTTTAAAGCGTTCATTCGTGTAGGTGAGATCAGATCTCATCCTCAGAGCTAGTGAGACCAAACAATGGCTGGTAAAAGATACGAGCATGTAGGAAGGAATGGACTTCTTCCTTACAAAGAGGAAACAATATAGACAGACACTGTTTTCTGCTGGAAAAAAAAATGCGCCACATATGCAAAATTGGAAGATGCCTAGGGGAAAAGACAAAGTTGATATCAGTGTGAGTGGCATCTTGGGGAAAACCCCAGCTGACAGAAGGAGGCTGCATAGAGGGACAAGCGCTGGGAACTACTAGACAACTGACTGGCACATATGTGGTTTCTGGTGATTAAAACGAGCCATTTAAAAACAGACCTGCTTAAAAAGCAAAAAAAAAAAAAGTAAATGACATTATACTGGATGGAACAGCTACCAGATGGTCCAGTTACCAGCAGCTACTAGATTTTGTTTTTGTTTTTTTAAATACACACATACACTCACACGAGCAAACGCTCATGGGCCAAACCGGACTGTAAAAGCCATCTGGCACTGCTTGTGCAAGTTTACTACACTGCAAAACCTCATTCTCTCTGGCATTATTTGTGGTTAGAGGACTAATTCTAGTTTCAGCCAGGCAACTAGGCTGCAGTCTGGAGCAGGAGAATCAATGGGCATGGAAACAAAGCAGGGAGCCATGCTCATCTGTGAAGAGGCAAGTTCCAAAAGGAAAATGAACTTTACTTTCTCTGTTCCTAAAGTGAGTAATGGGATGGTAAAAAGAATATTCCCCTTATTCTTCACTGCAATTCAAGACCCATAAAACCTCCCACCTTTTATATAAGGCAGAGCTCCATGATCCTTTTCCGGATAGGATTTTTTTTTTTTTTCAGTTACCCACTACTTTCTTCTGTCTTCTCCAACTGCTATCCATTAAGACAGCCATCACAGCACTTAATGAGTTTCTATTCTCCAGTCACTCATCTACCCCTAATTCAATTGCACTTCCCTGCTCTGGCACCTTAAGCAATGTGTGAGCATCTTCAGGTATACCCTAATAACAAAGGAGACAGTATTTGCCACCCTGCAAAAATAGCATTTGATACATTATCACAAAGCATTAATAAAACATGCTTATACTACAACATCTCCTCTTATAACTTTTTTCTTAATTTTTAAGGAAGATGTTTAATGATGTACATTTCTCAAGGAGTTCTTTCTGGTAGTAACTGGGCATAAATTTTATAAAACAATCAAAGTGGTAAAAAAAGATGCTGAAAATCTTGTACATATCATTGTAGTAGAGAACATATCTTTGCCGTGGGGTCTAATCAGGCAAAGAAATTCTGTGATTCTGTGATTCTGTGATTCTGTGATTCTGTGATTCTGTGAAATGGCTCAACATTTTCAGAATTCAGTTTCATGAAATAATTTCCTTAGCTGCAATGCAGAATTCTGGTATGGGCAGGTGTTGTTGTTTTTTTTTTTTTTGGTGGTGGTGATGGTTTTTTTTGGTGGGTGGTTGTTTGTTTGTTTTGATTTTGGTGCAAAGAAGAAAAAAAAAAAAAACACAAGCAAACAACAAACTTCAAGTCTGTAAGTGTGCATCAACAATCAATAGAGAACTAGTTTTCCATCGTGCTGTATGTCTGCATGATGTTAGGTGCCTATTCCCTCACAGATGAGACCTGTTTCTGAGGATGCAATAACTGTGCTCCAGCACTGCTGCTAGAGCAGTGCCCTGGGCTCAAATCGAGGCTTAACACACAGTACAAACACAACCCAAAGTAAATGTTTGGCCCACTTTACCTTACAGTCCCTGAAATTCACTGGCAAAGCTTTGAACTGCATGAGCATGCTATAGGTCTGAGGTACAGAGCGTCCTGACAAAGCTTGGAGCACTGCAATCAATGTCCGAGGTACTAACATTGCCATACAACCCACTTGTGAGGGCAGAGAGTCCCGGTTTTATTGAATTTATCTATATAGACTTGCCCTTGCTGTACTTCACCAAGAAATTTCAAGTCACTTAAATTGTGGCTAAGGGCATTTACACAGGGGCTGCATGTGGTTCAGTTTGTTTTCAATATTCTGAGGTGGCAATGTAGAACTCTGAATTAGGAGGTTATAAAATTTATGAGTCTTCACTATAAGAAGAAAAAAGCTCGTGAAGAAGATAGTGGAAGCTGCAAACTCCCCTTTAAAAGGCTGTTAACAATTTGTAACCAATTCAACCCAAAATGTTCCTGGGAGAATACCACATCAGGTGAAGTGTTATAGAGGACCACTTATTGCTACATAAACCATTGTAAAATTAATTCAGGTTACAAATAAAACCCAGAAATGCTCTGATCACAAAAGATGACACCTGTAATGTATTTTAGCCATTTTCCCCACAAAAATACTCAGGAAAAGTAAACAAAGCTTTTATTCTAAACCACTCTAAGCTTTCATTATGATAATTCTTTGGGATTTACAGAGACAGATATATCTCCAAAGGTCTGGGTATCGCTTCACTGAATTTTAGAGCAAAGCTCCGAATTCTACAGGACGGTCTAAAACCCACAAAGACTTCACACTTATTTACAATGCCTTTGATGGAATTTCACTCATGGAAGATAGCTCTTCAAAACTTCTTGCTATGAGACTAGAGGATGACAAATGTATTTCTCTGCCTTAGTTCCCAAGAAGCTGCACACAAAAATGTTCATGAGTCACACTGGAATTTTTCAGCCCTTTCATGATTCAATTGCAATCAAAAAGCAGGCTGGACATCTCGGTTCTTGAACTTGTAGTAACCATTCTGCTTAAAAACAGCGTCACTAAAAATATACCTTGTAACAGATTTGATGTATTTTAATGATTTCTGGTTCACTGGGACTCAGATGGAAAACACAAATTTGCTGACAGCACTGTTGCATATAGCTGGTCATAAGAATTAACAGACACTCTTTTTGATTTGTAAATTTTGGACAAAACTATCCATTGGGGTGTATTGCTAGAAACCCCAATTATTAGCAAGCCCCACCAAAAATATGAAATCTCTCTTCCTAAGAAGGGTACAATCCGACACACCACAGTACTGCATGTGCTTTTCTTCTGCTCCTGAATTTCAGGTTACCCCATATACCACCTCCCACTGGCCACCAAGTAGTGCTCCCCCTAAAAAAAAACGACATTCATACCCACAGTAACCCCCACAGTTCTGCAGTCATCTGTCTTGCCTTGTCTGCTTACAGTAATGGGGCATTCTGTGGAGAGGGAGAAAAGGGTTAAAAGAAAAACTACCTAATCTTCAGTCACACATTTGTCACCTTCCCCAAAATAGCTGTAGAATTTGAGCATAGTATGCCATTTGCTTCCCTGACAGGTTAATCCGTTTATTATTCATCCGTTCAATGAAAATACTGAGTCTCCATGCTAAGAACAAAACAAAACCTCCAAAAGCACTGGTTCTCTTTAAATCATATTCATAATCTTGTACAATTTGTCTTCAAATTCAGATTTATTTTTGAACCCTAGGTTAGAAGCAGGACACCTATTCCTTCAGATTTAGCATTGTTGCCTCTAGCCACATTTATGGAATGTTTTCTGGGTTTTGCAAAATTATTAGCATTTCATTACCTGCTTCTGCAACAGCCATGTATCTACCGTGAAAAGGTCACCCAAAAGTTAATGAACCTGATGCTTAGCCAAACTGCTTCTCTCCTGTGGGACAAGGATTTTCACAAAACTCTGCAAGGCTCATCTTGAAATGTTTCCTGAGCATGCTCCAAAACGAGAATGGATAGTAAGTCACTGAGCAAATCTGTTCCCTTTTCCCAGGCAACTGGTTCTATTGAGCCTTCTGCAACAACATGTAGCTCAACTTCTCAATGGCAGCATTTCTAAGGGAAAACCACAGCAGTGTTTCGAACCAGCCACACAAGTATTATGACCATATAGCTATTCAGAACAGTTACATTCCCTTCCTCTCTTCATTTCTTCATGAGAATCCACTGTCTACACTAAAAACACCTCTCTTGGTGCACAACATATTCTTTTCCTCACAGATTCATCATGTTAGGAGACTGGATTCATGATCCATTCAGGTAATATGCCTAGAACTTTCTCTTCCTCAGGCATTTCCCAATGATAACAACCTTGGATACAGAAGAATTGTACAACATCACAGTTGGAGCTATTGAATTTCATCCCATTCCTCTTACTCAGTCATCATTTCCATATTATTTCCCAGCCTTTTTCTCTATGAATGGTGTCTCCCAACTCTGGCTCATTAATGGAATGTATTAATGAAGGCATGAAATGGGAAAAGCCCCATGAATAATATTTGATTCTCTCTCCTGATACTTCCTTTACTAGCACTGATGACTGTTGCCATGTTTACAGTATTGCAGGTCCCTTAGGTAGTCACTACTCCACTGTTTTGCACTTTGGTACCATGCTCAATGTTTGCTTTTATCAAGGGATGATATTAGAGAAGTCCAGAAGATTCTACTGCTAGTGAGCCTTTTTTTGTTATACCACACTTGGCCATTCCTAGGTCTGAATATCAGGAAAAAGCAAAAAAAAAAAGTCGTTTATTGCACATTTAGTAGTAGCTCACAATATCCTTTATGTAACCTGACAGTGGCTCTAATGTAAAACACTGCAGGCAGATCCTGAATCTGATCTACTACCTAGACAGAATAACTGCATCAACAAAATGCTGGAGAAGGGTGACTAGATGATTATTTGGTTTTATTTTGTCTGTTGGTTGGTTGGCTGGTTGTCTTTTAAGAGATTGCGGTTGCACGAAGGAATATGTTCAAAAGGGAAGAAAAAGTCACATGAAAGATGAGGGCAGTTGTTTGGGTGTTGTTTTGATTATAGGAAAATCACTCCATCTAGAAAAGGGATGTTCTGTGTTTTTACTCTTAGAGGAAGTGATTACAGCATTAAATGTCTGTAGGCTAGAAACTAGAAATAGCGCAAGAGACTTGAGTTTAAGGGATGTTAATTCAACTGCATGCAAAATCTGCTAGACTATGGTGTCTGGATTTCATTTACTGATAACCAGTTGCTAGTTCAAGTGAGCTGTGATTACCATCTACATCAGGCACGCGGTTCAAACGATGTAATCCTTAAAAGAAAGAGACTATGTTCTCTGATGCTCTCAGCTCATGATTAGGAGTTGATGTTGCCCATCTAAATGAGGTATGGAATTTAATAAAAGGTATTTTTCTGAAAAAAAGCCAGATTAACAACAAGGGAAAATTGTAATGGGACTATTGTTTTTGGGGAAGAGACCCAAACAAGTTTGTAGAAATGTCTGGTCACCACCAGAAAAGGACTAGGCAGCTCCAGAAAACCCCAAAGTCAAAAAGTCTGTGGTATGCCTCATTGGTCCAGAGATGTTAGTCTTGTCTCTTGTATACTCCACAAGTGTCCTTCCAAGGTGGTTGTTGGTTACTTGGGGTTCAGGAAAAAGTCTTTCTCTTTCCTTTGAAACATCCTGGTATCAATATAGGGCAAAATAGGAAAGGAAATTGGGATGGAAAAAAAGTTCCTCCTTCTGCATAACCAGATCCTGATCTCTGCCCTCGTAGACGCCTACCTGGGCCTGCTTTCAGCTGGGGTAATCTTTTCCATGGTTTCCACAACATCAGTATGGGATAACAGCTCACAAAACTGCTGAAGGTTAATTGGTGTTTGAAATGCACCTTGGAAATATATTTGCAGAGGTGTTGCTCTTAGGGCCAGGAATTGCAGAGGCCCTACAGGGCTTGATCAGGTTCAAGCCTTGAGGGACTGCACGGGCAACAGTCCATTTGTAGGATCATGACTATTCAGGCTCCTTCAGAGGGCTGTGATCCAACCTCTTCATCAAAGCAGGGTCAGCTGTGAGATCAGACCAGGTTGCTCAGGGTCTTATCTACTTGGGTCTTGAAAACCTCAGAGGATGGAGGCTGCACAAGATGTCTGGCCAAAATGAGCATTTTAAAACATCTGTTGTCTGAGTGCTGCCACAGAAGAGCAGTTTTCCTAGGCCTGAATATTGCACTGTTTTTAAGTCAGCAGGCATTCCTACTTATCTGTCTTGACAGAAGTCATCACCATGGCATCCAAGCACCTGGAACAATTACCTAAGGGACAATATGGAAATTGCAAGGCAGCTCCCAGCACAGCTGAGAGAATTCAAGGGCAACGCAATACCCAGTGCATCTGCAGGCTTGCAGGGCGTCCCTGGCTAGCAGCATGCTATTATCTCACCGTGAGTCAGGGTGATGCCACTCTGGTGTGAAACCTCCAGCTGCCTGCCTGCCATGCACGCAGACTGCACTTCCCAGGCTGCACTTTTCTCTGTATCTGTCACTATAACTACACTATCTCCACAAGACCCTTACTGGACTTCCTTACCTGAGCAAATTAATGTTTCATATTCTGCTTCCAACCAACAGGCATAATGAATCTGTGCGGGTTCATTTACTCCGGTGGACTGCATGCCCTTAGCATAATTGTTTAACTTAGCTGTAACTTAACTTAATTTCCTAATAATCCTCATCAAATTTCCTCAAATTGTCAGAATATGGACTATATTTAAACAGCAGATTTTAGGTATTAATACTTCAGAGCAAATGGCAAAAAAAAAAAAAAAAAAGAAAAAGAAAAAAAGAAAAAAATATATTATTTTCTTCCCACTGCCAACAGACAAGCAAGAAATGAGGTATTTTAGCTTCTTTGTGTCCCTCAGACTGCAAGGCTAAAATCCAAATACCTGTTGGGAAAAGACTTACTTATGTCTCTCACAATTTCAAAGAGAAATTCAAATTTCCCACAGAGCTTAGGCACAAGAATTCATTCATTTCATATGAAACCATGCTCTGCTGTACATTTTGGTATGCAAAAGAGGTCTCAGAATGGGGCAGGAGAAGGCATTGTTGATACTGAAATAACTTATTGCTGCTTCGCAAGACTGGCACTTACACAGCAGAGAGCTCAAGGACTTGCTGACCTTGGGTATGTTGTTGGCCAATTGTTCCACAAGGAAGGGACATTAGATTGCTTGGACATAATAAGCAAGGCAGAGGCTTAACCACAGGCGTGCAAATACCTGTATTTTTTCTTGTTCGTATCATCTGTTTACAAGACTCATTTGAAATGTTAATGTCACATTCACTCCGGGTGCTAGAGCACAGAAATTTATGAGGTCTGAGCACCAGCATATTAAGTAATGTGTACGGTACACAGTAAAAAACTCTAATATACACAACTCAAATCACTTTTTGATTTTGAGGTTTGGGACTTCCTGCATGTAATTGAGAGCTAGGGATGAGAAAGGAACAACGATGGCTTGTGGAGCAATAGACTTCCTAAGCTGTGCTCTTAAAAATATTTTGATGACTAAGGAAGCACTTAAATGTTAGGGGAGATTTGGAAGGAGATCTTACCTAGCTTCCAGTCAGAACACCCGACGCAAAGCCGTAACAGCTTTCTGAATAAAGAGTTTATGTTTGCTCGCAGAACTTTTCTGAAGTTCAGACGAAAAGTAGATATTGCCACCTGCTGACAAAACCGAGGGTAGCAACGCAGGTCTGGAAAAGAAGCGTTTGCGGTGAAATTCAGGCTCTGCTGAAATCAACGGGAGTTTTGCCATTGACTGCAGAAGAGTCCGGATGCCACCTGTGCTCTTAATTTGCCTGGCCAGCCAAACCAAGAAGTGCATTCATCAAAGCCCGAAGCTGAACACCTCTCCTGTGGAAGACAACAGCTGACAGAACGAGAAACATATTTGGCCAGCAGGTCTCAAGTTCTGTCAGCTTCAGTTCACAAGCTCATCTTGATCGAGTGATGGGGAGCACCTGATAAATGGGGCCCTACAGCAGTGTGAGGACTCGTTCGAGGTCATTGTGCAGACACCTTGCAGCTCTGGACCGCAACTGGAGGCACGCTGCTGCTCCATCTCTGGTGAGCAGGGAGGCTCCTCTCCAAGCTTCAGAGAAAGTAGAAATGCATCCAGTGTGGCCATAGCTGCTGGCACATGTAAGGCCTGAACTACAGCACACCTATTTCACTAGGCACAGAGGGCAAGAGCAGGGATTCAAGGACCCTTCAAGGACTCCCCCCCCCCAGGGATTCAGCTCTAAGAGAGGCTGCAGCATTGCACAGCTCATTAGCTGCCAGAAGATCCACAGAGAAGGGGCCTTATAAATGAAGCACCACTGAAACAGCTTCAAAACTCAGCTAACATCTTAAACACCAAAGCTAACCATTTCTGTGTACATTTTAAGGAAAGCAGATTATATCCAAGTAGACAACAACTTATTTTACCAGGGCTATCAGGCAATCATTACTTTATGGTGCTAATTCCTTTCCATAATGACAAGAGAGAAAAATAAGCAATTAAATACTTGCTTTGTTTTCTCAAATCCAAATTTCAGGATTTTTTTTCCATCCAGGGTTGAACTGAAAGTGAAAATTCAGTTCTCCGCAAGACTGAAAGTCCAGTCTGATGTACTCAGCGGTTACTGCAAGAGTCCACTGGACAGACACAGGGTCAGGGCTATAGGAGTTTGCCTGTCTCACAGCTGATAACCATAATCAACTACCACAAAAAGAAAGTTACAGTCTGTCTAGGGAAACATGCCTGTTGCATGGCCCCACAAGCTCTTGTGTGGACTCATACCAAGCCATTAGCACCTAATTCCTTCATTAAACCACGCCACAGGAGCTATGGCCAACCCCTACCTGTCCCAAGGTGTCCCTTCCGCTCTCCTGCATCTCAGCCTTTTGTTCCTACCTCTGTGCCTGCAGCACAATGCAGTCTTTCCTTCTGGAGGTCTGCAATGTGAACTGAATCAATAAACTGATCTGGGCTTCTTTTCTGCAGAGAGTTCTGATCTGGTTTCTTTTCTGCTTCTTTTCTGCAGACTTTTTTAACCCAGCTCTGTTCAGTGATTCGGCCCACTCCAGCAACCTTCAGCAGATAGGATCACAGATAAAGTAGCAAAACAGATGGAGGGATGGGCAACCTGAATTGGCAGGAACTCTGTAAATCCCGTAGGTCAGCTTTAGTGCCAAAGCTAGAATATCATGAAACTATGGGATCAAATATCTGGGGCTGTCAAATAGTCTAAAGCAATGCCATCAGATATGTCCCGCATTTCAATTAGGAGTGCAGAGAGGTAGAGGCTACTAATAAACTCTTTCAGCAAAAATGTTTTTAGACTGCATATGAGGTAAATTGGAACAAATCCATATCAGTTATATTGCAATATACATCTCAAATCCAAAGGGAAGTGAATGAGGCATTGCAATGCCATGAACTTAACACACATTAAGCAAAACCAGGAGTACCAAATTATCAGAAAATTTATTCTTGTTAGAAAAATGTTACTGCAATAATGCTCCAAGCAAAAAGAACTATGCTCCAGGCACAAGTGTACGTACTGTACCTGAAGGCTTCCCACCACTGACTTTTTGTTCATGACATTTAAGCAAGTTATTTATTTTGGACGGGTATGTATTAGTCATTCATTCATCTGCTCTCTTGCTTCCTCCTGCCCTCCTGGCCAGTGGACTTATCACTCACTGGACAAGCTGGTGATGCTTGTGTCAGAATTGCCATTTTGCAGCAAGTGGCACATAAATCCCAAATCGGCTGTTGCATGTGTTTTTGATGATAGCCTAAAACCTCTACGCACTTCAGAGAATCTAACCAAAATGCACAAGTCACACATCAGTGCACAAAGAGAGCACTTTGTCACGTAGGTGAATTTTGGGCTGAGGAAGGTTAGATGAGCTCTGGATTGCTGCCCGCTTCATGTTGCAGGGAATATGGGAACACTTTCCTCAACAGTAAATTTTTCTGGCTCAAAAAACATTCAGGCTACAGAAGTGAATGTGTTCTTTCATATAAATACAGGCAAGACTCTTCCTCTGAAGACCTGAAAAATAAGGTTAAAATATGCTTAGCTATTGAATTATAAAAGTATCCCAAAGGGAAGACTTCAATACAGCATCCTGGAAAAGTAAGGAAAACAACCACAAGGGAGCTATCATCCAGGGGAAGGAAAAAAAAAAAAAAAAAAAGGGAAAAAAAAAAAAAAAAAAAAAAAAAAGAAACATGATGACCATTGTTACAAATCTGGCAAATCTGGAAGGAATGAAATTACATGGTCCTTGTTTGGAAAATTAAGGTCTTATATTGAAAAAATACATATACCAGATGTAAGCATATAATGGAACAAGAAATAAACAGGCTTATAATAAACAGACATGTAAATGCTGTCAGTATAGGCAGTAGCATATCTGAACTGCTTAAACTTCATTCCTTTATGTCAAGCTGAAGGAACTGTGAAAGGAAGGTTAAATGAGAAAGCACAAGGAAATAAACAATTGCAAAGTTTTAATGAGTTTTGCGGTCCTCTAAAAAACATGAAAGACCACTGGAGATTTAAAAACGAACAAAGGCAAATAGAAAAGGAAATCAGGTGCATGTTAGTGGAGATAAGAGCAGCATGCAGCCAAATAGCACATACTTAACAAAAAAAATCACTTCATTATATTTAAACCTTGAAGACAAACTTTGCTCTTTTGCACTATCACAATATGAAGCCTAAAAGTAAAAATGTGCTTTGAGACTTTAAATAGATTGTGTCTCCCTGGCAATTTTAATTAGCATGCTTCTGTTTATACAAATGTGTCTGTGGGGAGCTGGTTTGAAGAATGAAAGAACAAGCCTAGATGAATATATTGAATAATTTTAGCATCCATAATTTTAGTTTCCTTTGTCTGCCTATGAGCAAAATGATCCAAAAATGCATTAAATTAATATTTTAAAATTATCCAAAATCCCTGTTCATTTAATGTACTATTTACGTATTCCTAGTTTGCTCATATGCTAGTGCAAATAGCCAGCTCAAATAGCATAGCAGTTGCACAGAGCAGTATTTCAATAAAATGTAATTGTAAGAAGCAAGTTCTAAGTGCAGCTAAACTAGAGTTAAAAAAGGGGGGGGGGGGGGGGGGGAGGGGGGAGAGAAAAAGAAAAAGGAAAGGGAAAGAAAGAGGAAAAGAATAAGAAAGAGAAAATTGGAAAAAAAAAAGAAGAAGAAGAAAAAGAAAGAAGAAAAGAAAGAAAGAAAGAAAGAAAGAAAGAAAGAAAGAAAGAAAGAAAGAAAGAAAGAAAGAAAGAAAGAAAGAAAGAAAGAAAGAAAGAAAGAAAGAAAGAAAGAAAGAAAGAAAGAAAGAAAAAGAGAAGGAGAAAGAGAAGGAGAAAAAGAAGGAGAAAGAGAAGGAGAAAAAGAAGGAGAAAAAGAAGGAGAAAAAAAGGAGAAAAAGAAGGAGAAAAAAAGAAGGAGAAAAAGAAAAGAAGAAAGAAAGAAAAGAAAAGAAAAGAAAAGGAAAAAGAAAAAGAAAAAGAAAAGAAAAAGAAAAGAAAAGAAAAGAAAGAAAAGAAAAGAAAAGAAAAGAAAAGAAAAGAAAAGAAAAGAAAAGAAAAGGAAAAGGAAAAGGAAAAGGAAAAGGAAAAAAGAAGGAGAAAAAGAAAAAGAGAAAAGAGAAAAAGGGAAGCAGGATGTAAGCAGGGCAGGAAGGAAGGAAGCCTGGTCAGAAAGAAGGGAGAAAGGAAGGAAGGAAGGCTCTTTGAAATAGCTAGTCAGAAGACTCTCTGCTGTTTTGTGGCAGGAAGAGAATTTGAGAAGAGCTCTGTAGAAGAAACAGCTGTGGAAGCTCCCTCCCTCCCCTCATTTACTCTGTTTTAATATCAGAGGAGTAATCTATAATATATGTCCCAGGAGAATCTAGAAATTCTTTCACCTACCCTGGAGGTTTGGATTACTTGTCTAATAAATTATTTTAATCTGTCCCCTAGGCAAAGTGAGAAATTTGGCATATGGCAATTCTGTCCTTCCCTCTTCTGCTATATGTTAAGGTAAAGTCCCACTCTGATTTACATGTCATACTATACTGCTACAATTAATCGAACTGCAGCAGTCAAGGCATAATGTAGTGCTATATATATTTTTCAGGAATGGTTGATTTCACAAAGTTTCAGTATTAACAGCTTTGATTGAGTTCTGCAAGTTCATGTATCTTTCTCCTTACTCCCTCCCTCTCTTGAGATATTTTATTGCAGGCTTTCTTATAAGGAAAGTTCTGCTATGTTGTATAGGATTTTAGTTTATGCAGAGTGTGCATACAACTTATTTGCAATAATCTTGTCTCTTCGGACTCTTTTCAACAAGCAGTAAATCGTGAAACTGTATCTCAAGACTACTCAGAATTTTGGCTGCAACCAGGAGGTACAGAAGGATATTTTTATTGAATGCCAATAAATAAATAAATAAATAAAAATCCAGATCTTTCCAGGGAGATCTTTGTGCTAGCTTTTAAATAAAGTTGACTTTAACAATCCCTCATTATACACAGATGAAATAACCTAAGCTCATGCCATGAAAGGCACACAAACCAGAACACAGAGATGTTCTGCTCACTTGAGCAGACCCTGTGGGACAATCTACAGACTTGCTTGGAGGCAGAGACTCTGTGGTACCAGTCCTGAGAAGCACTCTCAATGGCTACACAGCTTCGTGGTCTTCCTTCTTTTTACTTTAGAAAAGAAGAGAAAGGCGACTAGAGTATTATTGTCCAATGTGGGCAATTATTCATCCGATCCCAGCAGAGGGACGGAAGCGGGTGCTTTTTACATTAAT